CAAGCAGCTTCTCTGCTTTTGATTGTCCTTCATAGTAGCTGTATCTCTCAAAATCTTTGGCTAAATGTGTGAATGATTCTACTGTTGATGTAATACCTTCCTGAATTATCAGCAAAGAGAAAACAAGTAAGCCAAATGTGAGACCTTCAATTTTGCAAGTTCCCTGTTACTAAGTCTTGAAGGACAAAAGGAAACTGAAAGAAATTAGAATTAACATAAGTGCAATGAAAGACAAAACATCAGCAGAAACTTACTTCTAAGGAAACAACTTGTGAGTATCCAATATGCCTTTTAGCTGCAGTGCAGCGAAAAGTTCTGGTGCGAGAGGCCAGTTGAACTAAGTAATGAGCTGATGTAGAATCACCACAATTTTTGAAGTGCAACTTTTCCTTCATCCATTTGACAACCAAAAGAATGTACCAAAATATCCTGGTAGGAACTCTTATGAATGGTCTGCAATCAAGAAAGCCACAACTTCAATTAGAATAATGCAATCATAATATCCACATAATTAACAGGCCTTTTCCTTTGACTCAGGAGCCAATAGGCAGGAAGCCAAAATCAGAACATAAATCATAACTTTAACTGTAATTACTGGCATACATGCAAGAAAACATAGGAAAGCACTCTCCAATTTCCATGTTCTAAAGGGAAGATCAAATCGAGCAACAAATATGCTAATTAATTGAAAAAAAAAAAAAATTTCAACAGCCAAAACCAAAGATGATATTAACTAAATGAGGAAGCATCCCTGTCATAAATTAACTTTTCTCAGTATATTCAGAATTGCAATCAACCTCTCAGAAGGTGATGGTTTCAGTGTTATCATGACTTGCCCATCATCTACCCTTCTGGGTGAAGAAGGGCAGTTGCATACCATTGCTTTTCTTGGAAGTTGGAACTTTGTCTTAACCATACTTTAATGAAGAAGATAATACTTAAACTACTCCTCAATCGGGATATTTCATATGTGAAATGCACATAAGCCTGTGCAACTCATTATCACATGACAAACAAAGTACTGATGAAAACCTCTGTGCTATACCTTTGAAATCCCAAGCCTTCAAGTATGAGAGACACAAATTCCCAGAACAGCATAGGTTCAAGATTTGTGATGAAAAAGACCTACAAGTTGATTAGAAGAGAGCATCTGACTTATGGATGGATTAATTTACAATTAACATATCCAATAGTTCTTTACCCAAAACAATATTCCAAAGGAAGCATACCTTTCCAGCCACAGAGACTACCCGGGAATCTAGAGCTTCTGCTGCACAGATATGAGCATGGGCAACATTCTCAGAAAAGGTGAAGTCAGACATATTTTCACCACTTCCTATAATGAACTGAAATGAAAAACCCATTACTTGGAAAAGGTCAGACAAGAATATCCATGCTCTAAATATAGAAACCAGTGCAGAATAAATCCAAACAAGGCAAAACAACAAAACTTAATAAAATGAATAAAAAAACCAAAACAAAAAACAGGGATTTAAAATGAACAAGGAACCTCAGGAAGTTGTTCTTAAAGGAACACAAGTTCATTTCAGTTTTAGTTACTATTGGAATATTATTGTGTTAGAATGAATTAACATTAATACTGATTATATAACTAAAGGAAGTTCCCAAAATAGAATGTTGCCTTAGAAAAAAAAAAGATAAAGAAAAAGAAAAAGAAAAAAGAAGATCAATAAATTGTTAAAGTTGTCAAACCTTTGCCAAACCGCGTTTTGCAAAATTTACTAGGAGAGGTACAAGCTGTGCATTGCCAGGACCAAAGACATTACTAGGACGAAGTGCACATGTTAAAAGACAATCAATATTGTTGGCAAACACAATCGGTGCTTCTGCTTGAGCTTTAAGGTCAATCATCTTATCCTGAAAATGTATCAATAGTCATGACCATGTCAATAATAAAAGAGAGGAAATTAGATACAGTTACAGTAAAGATTGCAGTGTTGAGAAGCATACTTTCCAAGAGCATGTTAAAGATTCATCACCATTATGTATATCCTGTGAACCATCAAAGACAACATCTGCAGAACTGTTATACACAAGTCGTCCAACTTTGCATTCTCGGCAAGCATTGATGACATTTTTTGCACCTGAACAAAAACTCCAAAAAAAATGTTAGTTTGTTCTTCACGTTCTTTTACCCTGTACCCAATGATCTGCCCCCACTCCCTCCCAAAAAAATGTTAGTTTATATTTCGCAAGAAATGTTGCTTCAGATAAATAATACATTACCTTGAACTATGATCATGTAGCAGTCACAGAAATCAGCGGTGTCCAAATCAGAGGGATCCATGTAAAATACGACAAATGCACCTTTAATAGCTGCAGAAGATGAAAATTCTAGACCCCAAGATCACTATCAAAGCTAATATCATCCGGCAGAGTGAGTATTTCGGAATGAGCACGGCGATGACCGATATTCTTGGGTGGGTTGTCGGGCATTTTGCTAATATCATGGCTAAACCTTTTAGAATCCGCCCCGTGAGAGAAATGTCCAGCTTCAGAACTAGAACCCGCCATTGGAAAACAGACTGCCAATGAAGCCGGCTCAGTTTTCACATTGAAAGTGCTCGGATTCCCGCTCGAAGAAAAACCCGAGAAACGGCCTGAGGGAGGTGGTAAGCCTCCACCGTGGTCTGTAGATTTATCCCTATCCATAGCAGAATTATACAAAACAAACCCCAACCAGAAATGACGCTGAAAATTGAGATAAGAGAAGGAACAAAAAAAACCCTAAATACCCAGCAACAAAGCTAACAACTTTGAACAAAAACAAACCCTAACAAGCACACATAGATCTGATCAACGAAGAAGGCAGAAAATTAGAGAAAAGAAATGAAATTTCAGAGCATTCAAGGGGCAGCAAAGAACATCTCTGAACAGGGAAACCCTAGGGAAAATGAAAATCTAATCAAGTAAGGAAGGAAATCTGGCACTAGATCTTGGAATGGAATTTCTTGCTGAAACTTTTGGTTTCTAGAATTTTTATCTAGAGGAATGGGAAAATGGGATGTGAACAGACTTCTTTTACAAAAAGTAGAATCAATGAACAAAATCACATGGACACGGAGAGTTTTACATGTGGCTGTACATTTCACACC